CTATCTTGTTCTAGGTGGAAAAATCCGTAAAATGGTCATAACCTTCAACGAAAGCTCTACCAGACCGAATCCTCATAGGATATTGACCCCAACATATGAACCAAATACCATTGAAAAACGACATGGATCAGTTAAGAACCTTCCCTCACAGGACAACAAAACAAAAAATCTAGTTTTTCAGAATTTTATCTTATATAAAAGCTTTTGAATGAAAATGCCGCAATGATTCTATTTTTTAATACTTGTCATTAGCTTCATCATGTTGTGCAATATTTTTTGAATTAATTATGAAAGATGTCCTATCGAAAAAAACATTCAATAATAATTCCTACTCAGGAGCAAGTAGTTTTCGATTATGTATTCTCGAAGTTTATTATTTTGTATAAATTTCATCAAAGAAAAATGAAGTTCGCCAGTATCCGCACTCAAAGCTTGTCCTCTTTAGATGAGACTAAGGTTGACATTAGCAACCCTTCGTTTAGTATATTCTTATAATTCATTGTAAACTTTTGTTTTTGATAATAAAACATTTTACTTAACTATTTTTTAGGTTGGTCTCGCTGTATCGGATGTAAAACGTTTTCGTTTAAATGCTAAGCGTGAACATTTACGTGCACGTATTGAAACATGTCTTGGTTTACAAGCAAAATTTGGTCTTTTATGTGAAACCTGTTCTCGATTAGTACTTGCTTTATCTAAACGTTCATATTTTGTACATTTTCAAATGGATGGTTTAAGAAAATGTTATTTATGGAAATTAGAATTACGTAAATCACGTATTGATTTACCTCAATCAACAAACGAAAATCGTTCAACATCAAATCATAGTGGAAAACATCACTCAACAAGAGAACATGTTACATGTGAAATAGGATATTATAGACAACATATTGATCGTGCTGGTCAACCATTATTACAAGAAAATGAACATACACGTTTAATACATACTGTCGATGAATTACGAGATGTTTTTGAAAAAGCGAATACACGTGTCCATCACGAATTAAGAAAATTAACTATTTCACTTCAAACAGATTTTGATGAAATTAAAAAAAAATTATTCGAAAGTTAATTATTTATATTCGAACAGGTCTTTTTATTTCTAATGAGATGTTCTATGTGCATATTGCTTATCTTTAAAACAAAATAATGAGTTCATAAATAACCAAATAAGTACTTTTGATCTTGTTTGTGAAACGAATACAGGATGTTCCAAAAGTCCTTCACGATAAACATCGGGAATAACTCTTGGAGAGTTCAAGCAATTTGCGTGAATTTTCGATAATATTGTTCGATATTCCTCTGAGTTGTATTCAATATAATTCAGATTAAATGCATAAATCTATAACAATTAAAATCGAAGCAGTGGCGTATCCAGGGGGGAGGCAATTGGGCAATTGCCCAGTGTTCGAAAATGTATTGCCCAGTGATTTTTGGTGACGGTACATATGGCCCAGTGCTGAGAAATATTGAGTAGCAAGCGCAACCAGAAACTTTAGTGGCAAGATTCTCTCGTACACTTCCATATTTGTGTTCTTTTCTAGAGTGATGTTTCACTCAGAAAATAACCGAGTACCCAAATGTTTAGGGGAACATTTGGAGAATAGATTATTCTAGCGGAAACTTCCACTGCTTTTCAAAATTCGCGCTTAGTGAACCGAATTATTTAGGGATGATGTTTCACATAGATCTTCAATTTTTGCGAAACGCACGCCCTTTCATTATTATCTTTACAGAAGATGAGTCCAAGTGTTGCTTAGCTTTCGTTGTTGTAACTTAATTAAAGAAACACAGTTGAGGCTTTTAGCACGATGTAGCTCTATTGAGTTCAGGTGGGCGATAGTTGGAGAGAGCTATAGGGAACAGTCGGAAAGTTGGAGAGAGCTATAGTCAACAATCGGAATGTCGGAGAGTCGGAGAGAGCTATAGTCAACAGTGGGAATGTCGGAGAGAGCTATAGTCAACAGTGGGAATGTCGGAGAGAGCTATAGTCAACAGTCGGAATGTCGAAGAGTCGGAGAGAGCTATAGTCAGTAGTGCGCGAACGTCGCTCTTTGGACGGACTAGTATTTTTAACAATTTCCAAACTATCTCGACAAAAAGAATGTAAATTATCGTCCGGGTTCCGTAGCAAACAATTTTTTTAGAGGTCCCAGAAATTTTCAACTGCATGGCAATGTTTCTGTAAAGTTTCTGATCAATAATTGCATTATGAAAAATACTGTTAAAGAGTGAGAAAGTACTATTCTTATAAATCGTTTTTTCATGTTTTTCCGAGTCCAAAAAGATCAAATTACATGGTATCATATGGTAAATTTGCCCAATTTTTCAGGATTCTCGAAAGCTCGGATCACTCCTGTCAAGTCAAGCTTTTCTTTATCGATACTATTTTGTCATGAGATGGATCGACATTTTCAGAATGAACAAGGATGGTGTTAATGAAATAGTACGGGACTCAGCACGTTCACTTGTTATTGATTAGAACATGGTGAACTGTCCGTTTTGTCATTAGCCATAGTGTTCATAAATATAGATAGAGCGTGTTAAAAAACTTAGCCCAATTCGCTTTTGAATTGCCCATGGCTGCCCAGTTCTCAGAAGAACTTTACTAGGAGCTTGCCCCGTGCTTAAAAAATCCTGGATACGCCACTGAATCGAAGTAATTTTATTAATGGTTGAATTTGAGCCACATATGATTGTGACACAAACTATTCCAGTTAAATTTGACATAAACAGTATTGGAGAGATCTCTGAATGCTTTTATGAAATTGATAATTACTTGAGCGGACTAGTCACTTTCTGAACATCATAATGTAAAGAAGGTCCAGAATATTCAAAACGTCATGTAGTTTCTATAACTGATGAAACTATGAATGCTGTTCCAGCAATAATTGAAGATGATTCTCATGCAACATACGAATGAAGAGATGACTTTCGAAGCATAATTTCTTCAGAAGTTATTTCAAATACTCTTCTTAGTTTTATTTTCTATAGTTTCGGCCTTCATTGATTAACGATTAGATTATTGACAATTGAAAGCGGTTTTATATTTGACTTTAATATCGTTTAATGAAGAAATTTGAAGCGATCGATTTCATCGGAGGGTGGGTGTGGGAGAAAAGAAGGCATAGACCTCACCCACATCCACACCGCACCCACACCAACACTCTCTTCAACAAACAGTACACTTGAAAACACAAACTCACTTTTCTCCAGTAATGAAGAATAAAAAACAAGCCTTGCATTAAAATGCGCAGATTGTTTTCGCAGAGAAAAGAGTTTTTCGTAAAAGAAAACAATGCGAATGGTGTCACCATTTATTTGTTGTCGCATGATTTCTATTAGATTTCGTCTGGAATTGTGGCTATGCACAACAACAAAGAGAGAGAGAGAGTAATAAAAAAAAACATCGACAACCAACTAACGAACGAATAAAAAAAGAAATATTAATCTGTTTTGGTTATTGTTCTTCCTTTTTTTTCCTATGTGTATATTTAAACAGCATCAATGGTGAAAA